TTCTCCAGACCTGCATCTTAAAGGATCTGGAGAAACACAGATGTATTCAAGATTTATTCAAGAAGTATGTAAATGTATTTACTATGAGTTTAGGAATAACTGGAACCAGAGGTATACAGAAATCTTTACATATATTTACTTAATTTTTATTCTTAAGGCAAAATTTAGATTCTTTGACAATTTTATATGGAATTCTTCTCATTTCAGAATTGAAAAGAATTAAGACATTTTTAGAATTCTTAGGAATTTTAAAAACAGTGTTAATGACCGCCTATGGACTTATTACCCCATATAAGTATATCTCATAGATATAATAAACACTTCTTAGTTAATCCAAGCCAACAGGTGTAGATCAAGCTTTAAATGATAGGACGAAATTTAAAGAGGTGTCAAAATATTTAACCACTTTGTTTAACATTTAGATATATATTGTACACAAAAGGGGGTCTTTTTTTGTTTTAATTTTTTTCAATGGGCTTTATTGGTACTCTTTAGGTATATGGAACAGTTACATTCATCTTTGGGATCTTGTACCTCTACATGACAGATCTTGGTTCTCAATTTTTCCCCACATCCCTGCCCTCCCTTCACCCCCTTCACCCTCCGCTATTTATACAGAATTCATTTCCACATTTTCCTTTTCTCATGTTTTTTCTTTTCTCTTACTTCCTTTCCACTACCCTTCCCACTTCCCCTACACCTGTTATTTTGTACATTTTAAATTTGGGTACTTTTGACTCTATAAAAATAGCTATAAATTTTAGAACTACAACATTTTGTGTTTTTTCCTTATGTATTTATAGGTTCATGTGTGTGTGAATATATATATATATATAGATAGATAGATAGAGAGAGAGAAAGAGATTCATAAATTACAGTAGTTGTTCATGTAATGAATCAAACTAAGTTAAAACATTTTCTAAGCCAATATTTAAATGATCTTTCTTTTAAAATATATTTCTATTGATCAAAATCCTAAAAATGAAAGGCACAAGAAGTTATCTTAGTAAAATATACAACATTTGCTTTTAATCTAGTTTTATAAATTGAACCAAGAGCACCCTATTAAGAAAACCTTACTGTTTTAGACATAGAGAACTTATCCTTTTATTTATAACCAACTAAAGTATATCATAATAATTTATTTAATAAAAGTTGGGGTGTGACACCATAAGAGCTAGGGAAAAATGGGATAGACATCATTTAGTGGATAAACTCGACAAATTCTAGTCCAGGCAAGTGCTTTGTTCAGCCACAGAAGAGTTTTCTCAACAGTTTCCCAAGTCCAACAGGTCACCACTTAGTTTCTTTAACAACTGCTTTAGATGACTCACAATAGCAACTAACAGTTTAAACTATTTACTTTCATTATCCTTGACAAAGGAAAAATCCTTACGTTTTTGGCCATACACAATAATAGACATTGCAATTCTAGATCTAATTCTGTTTATTATCTTGGCTATCTAACAAATTGCATGGAAACCCAGTTGTCACCAATCTTTAAAATATCTTTACCTTTTATCTTCACTGATTTAAATGAGTCTATGGTTAAGCTACATGAAACATATAGAAACATATGCATTTTAAATCATATATAATATTTATGTTTTCACATTGGAAGGGTTTCACTTGTAAGGCCTATATTAATTTGAAGTTTTTTAACCCTCATCTTGTACCTTTTAAGTGGATTTAGTGAATTTCAAAAACCCAGATAATTGCTTTTTATGTGAGAGGTCCAAAGAGGCAGAACGTTTAGATCAGAGTGTTGTCTTAGAAACACTGGCCAAATTCAGCAGGTATAATCCTCTGTTGTAGGCTCATTATCAATTGACAAGTCAGAACTATTTGGGGTGACCAATTAACAGACATTTCTCTTGTAATAGACTAACACAAGTAAGATGTTGAGAGAGAAGAAGGTTGTTATTATTATAATATAACCAGAAAGAATAAGAAGGGTGAGGAAAGAGCTTAAAGGTTTTGTCTTTGGCTTTTTAAATTTACCTTTGGGAACAAAATCAACTTTTAATTTAACTATAGGTCACATATAAAAGAAAGCAAAGGGCACAAGCTCCCCCTCCTACCTCCCATGTGGTAGGACGCACTAGGCTCAGTACCTTCTTGGTAATCAACTGTAAAACAGTGAAGAGATTCTAAGTTGTCCCCTCTTTACTTTTAGCCCAGCTCTTAATTTTAAAAGTTTGTCATAATTTTAGTTATACTTTTCATTTGGGTGTTAAAGACCAAGCCCAATGAAGATGAGAGCTGAGACCTGACTGACAAGACTCAGGGTCATAGCCCACCTAGTTTTTTTGATCCACAAGGAGCTTTTAGAAAAAATCAATGTGGGTTTCAGTAAACCAAAAACAGATGTATATATTTCTCTCTTTAAGTGGTATTCTCTACAAACTTCTCCTCAGTTTTCAGTTTTGCCATCATCATCATTACCTTTTCAATAGAGCAAGACTTTTATCATGCAAAATCTTCTCATATCAAAAGTGTATCTCTTATACATACAGTCTTCTTTATATATTGTTCTCTATCCTACTTGTTATAAACTTTCAGAAACAACGTAGCTGTGAACACTTGGATTTCAAACTGTCCTTCTCTCCTTTTCTTTTTTTTTTCTCCTCTGATCAGATATTGTTTCAATTTTAAACTTGAGTAGTTGCTGACAAGCATTCAACTGACCTTGAAGCAGTATTCATATCACCAGCACAAAACAGAAGAGCAAGTGAATCCCATAATTATAATTTAAGAATTTAAAATCCATAAGATATGTTTTAAGTATGCTAACTAAACAAAAATACAAACTTAAATTGTAAGCCATACATAAATTTTTCAATTAGCTAAGATTTGTGACCCAATTCCTCCCCTATGCAGGGAAACTTTCTTCAAGGCAAAGAGAGATTGAGCCACCTCTGGTCCCCTTTTAATTTTTTCCTGAACCAAGGATAAGGGCAGACATTTTGTCCTGTGTGGCTTCAGCTGCTGTACCAGGGACCAGGTCTTCCTCCATGAGTACCATCTTCTGTTGAGGCAGATCCACCAATCCAGGGTGTTGGGATACAGGTTGGAAACAGAGGCTCAAAGGATCCCATGCAGGAGGGGAATGGAAGAGAATCCTTTTTTTTTTTTTTAAGTCATCAAAGTTTTAGGGGAAAGAGGAAAATTGCTCCATCTTGCAATCACAGGGCATAATTGATCTTCTGCTGAGTCCCTGGTATTTACTCCAGGAAAAATTTAATCAACAATTGACATATTGAGCTCTCCCATAACCTGAACTTTGGCCAGAAAATGGATGGGGAGACAGAGAGGCTTGTGGGCAAATGAAACAATAATGCTTTACCATCTGTGCTTTTTGTTTTTCATTCATGGGTTGTTAACCTAAATCCTTAATATCAGAATGAGACTATCTGTGGGCGTTTCATTCTCTGAGACCCTATTTCCTAACCACTCCCCACTGAGTGGCACATTTATTTCCCATTCTGTTAGTCCACAAGCCCCCAGGCTAAATCTCTGGTGTACCATGAGATAACTTGTTATGGATAACTTTCAATTTCACCCCAAAGCAGCTGGCATTCACTGGAGATTGACATTCTCATCCAAGACCAGACCCATCCTACTGGAGGGTATCTGGGGTTAGGGACAGAAAAATTCAACTACCAAAATAATACTCATTCACTCCCACAATTTTCCTTACCTTGGTTCATGCATGAAGTTCTCTGTCCACTATGGTTATCTTTGCTTGCCATTGGGAAATTTTTGCGTTGAGGAAAGTTTTTTTGTGCTCTCAGCCAATGGACATGGGTTCACATCCTGAAGGCTACTGAAGCGATGGTTTGAGATGAGTCTCCTCTGGGAGTGAGTCCTCATGACTTAATGTGGTGGGGCCCCATGTCAGGGGCCAAATTATTGGAAATAAGCCCCTAGACTCAAATTGACTGCTTGAATGAATGTATTAAGAAACATCATTGCAGGAAGGATCAACAAGACAGTTTAAAGTAAACTTTTCTAGAATGGTATAAGCATGAGGAAGCTGCTGTGAAGAAAAAGAAAGGTTGCCCCTTTTATCCCTAACTCCAGAGAAGTAGTTGACATTTTCCCATTTGTTAGGTTGAAGGTTTACAGTCTATCCCAATTGGCTAGTTAAGCATTTGTGAGAGAAGGCTCTGAAGAGTTGCTAAGGGAAAGAATGCAGGTGAGGGAAGAGGGTGTGGGGACCAGAAAGGTCTTGGCTATTGATAAGGTATCTTTGATCTATAGCTATGTTCCCAAAATTTAAATTGAACATTTTCTGTACCTCAGTGTGATCAAAAGAAAAATGGTCAGGTTATCTAGAGTGAATTACAGTTTAAAATGGAGGTCCTCTCTGGTTCTTATTTTTGAGAGAAAAGACCATATCTCTTACATTACTATTTTTATCTTCCCCCCAAGGTGCCATCTGCCAGAGACCTGGCAAGTGTATGAACATTGTTAAGCAGTTTAAAAACTCTCAGTAATTTTCATCTAGAAAATGGATCACATTTAAGATTTTGTTTTGTATTTTTTTTCCTTACAGCACTCTGTCTGTCAAGAGAGAATGTGTACTGCAGGCACACATTCCCAAACACAGAAAGGACCACTGAAAGCCTGGGAGAAGAGCTTGCCCAAACTGAAAATCTTCAGTGAAAATGTCAGTGCCCCTGTGATCTTCTCTACATGCTTATGCCCTCCTATTGATATGATGTCCTTTCTGATCTCCCTCAATATCCTGACCTCTATGCTGTCTCTCCCATCACTCTATGATCTCAAGAAGAAAAGCACAGAGGGTGGGAGATGCTACAGACCCCTGAAGTCCAGTCTGGCAGTTAGGTATGTTTGCCTTAAACTGGTTGCCAGGTCAGAATGCATGATGACCTTATAGGATTCCAACCTCTCTGATTGGAAGGTTCAAATCCAGTAGGGGTTGGCAGACCAGTGGGCAACAGCTGATCCTCATAACTGTTCTCCCTACTAGAGACTCCTGATTGTAAAAATACGGTGGATTGTGTTTGACAGAATTACATAAACTGACTGTGGAAGACCTGAGTCTGTTTTTTGTGGAAAAAAAGAAAGCCTTTGAGAGAAGGTATGGCCACTGGGGAGCCATCTTCCCAGTCTAAGGACCAGAGTCCACCGCCTATCTCTCCAGGATATGCCCTGGAGGTAGTGATAGTGGATGATGAGATCCCAGGACAATCAGGTGAGGGGACTGGAGATAAAAGAGGTCTGAGAAGGTAGCCAGTAAGGAGGAGGAATACAAATGAAGAAAGTCATGATTCAAGAAGGCAAAGATTGGAGAAAGAAAAGTCAGGAGGTGGAATAAGGATGGTTAATGGGTAGAAAACCTAGCAAGCTAGAGATAAGATCCAACAATGGATAAGTGAAGGGGTGACTAAAGCACAGTTCTCTCCTACCAGGAGAAAAAGGGTCTATAAGAATAGAGTTTTGGGTAACCTGTGTGGAGGACAGTGGGAAGGAGAATTGGGTTAAGATGGAGATTAGAAAATCTTAAGGATGGAACAATGCCTTTAAGGGAAAAGCAGAGGAATAAATTTGTGGTTTTTAGGGAAGGATGGAGTTGGGTGGAGATAGTTAAAGGTGGAATTCCAAAGTCAGAAGTGGGCCATTGGAGCTGGATTTCTTTCCCCAGGCCTGTGGGAAGTACCCAGTCTTCTACCTTGGGCCTGTGTTCAGAAGAGGAGGAGAGACTGGTCCTCAGTATCTGAGGATGAGGTGCAGGAGGACCCACTTGAGGTCAGCGATAGAGTCCCTGGAGTAGCAGCACCCAACATCATGCATCAGAGGCCTAACTGGAAGAAGCAGAGGGACTCTTCTTCTTGTTCAGAGTTGGAAGCAGAGGTGGAGCAAAAGTAATATCAAGGGGGTTCTGGTTCAGCTTGGATGGGGAAACCAGCCTCACACTTCACCATGATCTAGAACAAGTGGCCAGTGTACAATGAGGATGAGGAGGGCAGAGGGCATTGCTACTTTAACTTAGGCCCCTGCTCTACCTTAATCCCCAGGGAATATATCAGGCTGCCACCTTGCAAGAGGTGGAGAGAATATCTATCCCTGTTCATTGAGGAGCCACAGGAACCATCACAAAAATTAAGCCCTGTACCCTCTACACATATGGGTGTCACAGAAAAGTTTTGTGGCCTCAAGAAGAAAAGGAAGATGAAGCACCTGTCCTCAGTGCTGCCTGAGCACCACGCAGCCTTCACTAGACTGTTGCATAAGGAGACAACACAGCACCTCCACACTGGTTATTTAGGAACACGGGAGACAACTAGCACATCCCTCACATGTGGAAGGGAGCTCACTGTGAACATGAGCTCTCTGTTCCTAAGGGTCTCCAATGATATCCACCCCCAGTCACATAGAAGACAGTTATGACACATTCATTAAATTAGGTCCTCATGTGGCAGCATAAAGTTTGGCTCCAATGTGGTCATACAGCAATCACTGAATTTCCTGAATAGAAAGTTATAGCACTTGAGGGCCAACTTGGTCAGCATCACACCTGGATGTGAACATCACAAAGGAAAGGACCTACATGAGTTATGACCTCTGAGGTGGTGCATTTTTGTGCCATGAGAGGCCAACACAGTCTGCTCTAGTGTTTTAACCTGACTAATACTCATTAGTAGCCAGGACTCACAGTCACTTTTCCAGTCACCTCCGTAATGTGGTGAGATTGCTTCCACCCCTTCCCATTAGCCTGATAATTTCCAGCACATCTCCCAGGCAGAAGTGGTTTTACTCCATGTTATTTTGCTCAAAGTGAAAACCTTGCAGGTCCCATCCTAACATTACTCTCTCTTCCCAGAGGATCCTGTTGTCAAAAGATTTCTGGTTTGGGACATGAACCTAAGAGCATCCGATAAGGTGAGGTCCTTACATCCTAGGAAGAGCTGTCACTGTGCCAAAGCATGGAGAGGACAGAGTTCCAACCCTGCAGTCCTCTCTCCATCCCTCCTTGGAGCACCTTCCTCACCCTCCCACCCTCAAGGTCCCTTTAGGTATCAACATTGTCTCCCTTCTGAGCCTGGCTGGTGTTTGTGAACTGGGTGAGTACACCATCCTCTACCTGGATCTTCTGGGATCTGAGCCCAGGACAGGGTCTTCCCTCAGAATCAGTTCTCTGGCTGGTGCTTCCTGAAGCTCCTGGTCCCTTCTTCAGCTCTGGTGAACCAAATTGTTCTAACTGAATGGACCCTAATCAAAACCAAATGACCTCAATACAGTCTGAATGGGACCTATGGAAGTGCCATCCTGAGAACCATGGCCTCCATTCTATTGAATGTTCTTAGTTGCCAAAAAAAAAAAAAAAAAAAAAACTCCAACTACCCGACTTTTCCCCAATAACCAGGCCACCTGACACTGCAGTCTCTTCTCTGAGGTTAGGCCCTACCAGTCCCTGTCCCCTGGTGCCTCCTCTTCCAGGGTGCCTGTCCTTGACTGTCCTCTTTTCTCCCCATTAGTACCTCCTGGCCATGGTCATCACCTACTTTAGCTGGGCTGGCCTCTTTCCTTGGAAGTACCAGAGGATTCACTTTTTCTTGGCTCTGTGAGTACTGTGTCTCCCCTAGGAGTCTTGATAGTTCCCTCCTTGGATGGGGTGGGAAGACTATCCTATCCTGTAGTTTGCAACCACTTTATACTGCTCACTGTATGGAAAATTAACCTCACAGTACAGTGTGGCAATAGTTCTCTTAAAAGAAATTTCAATCTACCATTCTGTCAGTAAAGGAACGGAACCAGGAGAAACAGTCCTTTTTCAGAGCCCACCTGGGGAACAGCTCCTTCCTGATTGTGATGCTGATGAGCAACCTGCTTTCTTTCCCAGCTACCTGGCCAATGACATGGAGGGAGATAGTCAGCTACAGAAACTGGACATGTTTTTCTTCCTGTATAGGAAGAACTTGGCCCAGATTCCCAAATTCCAAAAGCTGCACTATGAATTCCTCTGCTGTATGGGCTGGAACCTGAGGGTGACTCAAGAGGAGTGTGAAGAGGTGGGTGGGGCCTTGGGACCGGCTGGGAAAATTGGGCAGGATTAGAGACAGATCCAAGCAGAGTGGTAGGATTGGTGATCAGAAAGAAATGCAGGCTGGACAAGTGGGTGGTGTTACTGGAGGTCCTCAGCGCTTCGTGGGCTTCTTTCTTTTCCAGATCCAAGCTTATGACCCTGGGCTCTGGGTATGGAGGAGAGATCGCAAAATCATTCAGGGAACTCTAGAGCTCTGAGGACATTGGCGGCAAAAAGGTATGTTGTGTCTCCAGAATACAGACAGAACCACTGCCTTCTATCTCAAAAATGCAGGGAACCCATGCATGGTCCTCCTCTCCTAATTCCTCCCTCCCCATCCTTTATCTAAATATCAGGAACCAGCCCAGCCTGAGGCATGTGTTTGCCCTCCCTTTTTTCCTCCATAGCCACCGAGGTGACAGGTACACAGAAGTGACTGCAGAGAGATATCCCAGGTGCTGGGACACTGTTCTGTCAGACCTTGCAAAACTAGACTGTCCCTGAGCAGTGATTTGGTAGAGATCCTTTCACTCATAGAAAATGTGTTGAAATCTCATTGTGGATGAAAAATTCATTTTCACTCCAAGTGAATATCTACTAGCCATGGCTTTTCATTGCTCTGCAGTAGTTGTATTTTTACCTTTTGTTGTTTACATAGGGTATTTTATAATTTAGGGGTCACAAAGAGAGGAACTGTTTTCTGACAATTTGAATATTGCACAAAAAGCTATCAAATGAAGTGGTTCCATTTTTAGAATGGGAAGAAAATTATCCCAAACCACATGTACACCCCAAGTTGTTTGCAGATGCATTGCATATGGTTGAGTGTACCTGAGTTTTTTTCCTGTCTTGTCTTTTGGCTCTTGCATGAAATTCTCCTCTCCAATAATTGCACATTTTCTGTTCAAGTGTAAACACATGGCTATTTTTTAGAATGATGAAAATACATAATAGTTTGGTGGTTTCTTAGTAAAATATACATATTACAGTAAGGATTTGGGGAGAGGAATAAGTGAGGACTTATTTTACATCATGTGCAACCAGCCAAATTTAGTAGCAAGAATTTTGGTGAAGCTTTGGTCCTTGGGATTCAGCATTAGTCATGTGGGCTGATGGTTACCATGTGGACAACTTAGTGATGTTTCTATTAAAGATGGAAGTCCAGATGCTAACTGTGTGGAAAGGACTAAGGTGAGAGGTAAGTGAAAAGGTGTCACATTCTCCAAGAGTGCTCGCATCTCTGAGAAGAATCAGCTCAAGCTCTCACTATAGAGCAGAAAAAGGTGGGTCTAACCTTAGACATCTCTAGTGATTTGCAGATTGTGGGTCAAAAAGTCTGAGGACCACAACCAGAAATGATCATTCAGGATGAGGGTTGAGAAGGATTCATTAAATAAAAGCTGGATTTAAGTTAATCAAAACTATAGTTGGGCTGGACATTTTTGTCATTCATTAATTATATTGGTAGCTTTTAGGTATACAATACAATGATATTCATCTTTAGGAATTTGAGTATGATATATCTTCTTTCTGTATTTGTATATGCTATATCTTGTTTGAGCATAAAACTTCTCCTCTAGGAAACTTCCCCAGGAAATCTGACAGTGTCTCTCTTCCTTTCAGATTTCTGGGCCAATGGAAGCAATGAAACAGAATCACCACAGGATATTCCCTGGAGCTGGAAAACCCATGGAGGGACAACTAGGAACCAGTTTTTCCCTGTTACCTTCTAAATTCAAGTTTCTGCTTAATTCCAGGATGAGACATCTGCTAATTTTATATACTTTATACCTCATTTATTTGATAGTATTTCAAAGTTACCTGCAGAGTATCAGATTGGAAGAAACTACTTAAAATAGAACATTAGAACCATACTGTTGTCACAGATTCCTTTAGTATATAGTAAACTATTTATTGGTTTATTGTCAATCTTTTAGAAACAGACATTTTACTCTATTGAATAATATCTATAACATTGTTCTTATAATAATTTGTGTTAGGAATTTTAACTGATATAGGTAAACAGCCTGTTTAAGAGAAATTTTGATCTGCCATAGTTATAAATGCATTATCCTTATAGACATGCTGTAGTACCCCAAACACTTGCAAATAAAAATCATACTGTCCTTCCTTATTGTTTGTGCACATTGAGCTGTCATTCTTCAACTCAGTTTCACTCACATATCTGATGTTCAAAATACATCAGGTGAATGGCAAAGAAACTTGTGTTTTGAAGAGGGCAGGGCCATGCATTTCTTCTGGATATATCATAAACAGTAAATGTCTTCTCACCTTCTCAATGTGTGTGATACTGTCAGTCTGAATTGCTTTCAGTTAACCAAATTTCTTAAATGTGAAGAGGAATACTGATTTTCTTTTCATGTATGCAAAGAGAAGACAGAAAGAAAAGCCTAGCAACAAAAAATGGCAGATTGTATCCTACACATTGAAATAAGGAAATGATGGGTAGAGATTGAAGTAGAAAAGCCAAGAAGAATGAAGACCCAGGTGTGGTGGCACAAGCCTGTAATATGATCACATGGGAGGCTGAGGCAAGAGGATTGCTGTGAGTTTGACACCAGCTTGAGCTACATAGTGAGTTCCACATCAGTCTCAACTACATAGTGCAACCCTGTCTTTAAAAAAATGAAGGAAGGAAGCAAATTCTGTGGGTGCCTGGATGATTGCCCAAAATCACAAGTAGAAGAAAAGCATCTGAATGAGGGATGATGCCTGGCATTATCCAGTGTAAGAAGGAGCACACAGGCAAGGAAGTCATCCCTGTGGGATTTCAGTTATAGGGGATTCTTTCTCACACCTTATGCCAGCTGGACATACTAGAAAAGAATTTGAGAAAATTATAAACAACTGTGGAAGTGAGCATAAAGCACCTATTTCTGTGTAAGATGTGATGATCAGAAGAGCCAAAACTGTCAGTGGGGGTGGAGATGAAAGAGCTAAAAGCATGGATTCTGAATGGTTATAGAGAAGCATCTTGGGAAATGGGAGCAGCAGAGAACAAACCAGCAGCTATGGAGCAGAGTGGCTTAAACAACTCAGGAGCCAGAAGAAAGTAAGTCCAAAGACTGGCAGACAGATGAAATGGGAATGGGGACCATGAAATAAGTGGAATTGATTTTAGGAGTTCAGGAAAGGCTGAAACATGGAATAAACTGAAAATCTAATGGTTGAGTTAGAAAAGGAGGGAGGTAGATTGATCAAGGCAGGTGGAAACATGAAAATTCCAATGAAGACAGAGCTATTAAAGACAGGCTCCTCCATCAGAGTGGGCAGAACTACATACCTGTAATCCCAGCATTCTGGGAGGTTAAGGCAGGAAGATCACCAGTTCAAGTTTAGCCTGTAGTATTGAGTGCCATCATGAGACTCTACCTTAAAATATTAATCAAAAAATGATTGGAAAGGTAGGTTGGCATGAAAAATGAATGGAGCTTGGGTTCAATTCACTAGTGAAAAAAATAAATATTTTACAAAGTTATATTCTAGAGTAATTCTGATGTCTACCACCTGCCTTCAGAAGTCTTATGTTCAGCTGAGGTGCTTTGATGGCCTGGTCCTTGGTACAACCCAGCAGAATGGCTCAGGAAATCCAAACTGAGATCCCCCAAAAGTTGGCTTTTCAGTTTCTCAGATGGTTCCTGGCACAACACTAGGTACCTGTTTCCCAAAGCCTTTGCACCCCTACACTCAGTATCTGCTTTAAAATTCAATCTCTCCACCAGTAGTAAAAAGTTATGTTTTCATCAGTCACCCTGGGAACCCTGCACTCAGATTTTCCTTAGTTTAGGGAAAGTCTTTAAGCAACTGTCTGTAGACTCACTGCTTCAAATCCTGCAATCTGATCAGCAGGTTGGGTGGTTTGTAAATTTTGTTTATGGTACATAGGCTGTGGTGAATCACCTGTGCACCAGTTGTCAGTTTTTTGGGTCTGGGATAAGAATGGAGTGGCTACTTCATGAGGCCACATTGGGGAGAACACTTTCAGGGGCCACCAAAGAGATTTTCTCCAGGCTGTGTCCTATTCAACATTCACAGTAGCAGTTTTAAGGGAGCGAGCATCTATACACCCTGATAACATTGGTTATTTCCCATCTCTGTGAGTAAAGACTCTTGCAGAAGAAGCCCAATGCACTCACTCCATCACACTCCCAGGATCTGGTAATCTACAAAGAGAATGAGAACCTGGGAATTCCTGGTGTAAGTCATCCTCAGGCACTTTGTAATTTTTATCATGTGCACAGAAAATCATAGTTGAAGGACCTGTTTATTTTAATTATTTTATTTCTGCAGACTATTTCCTAGTGACCTATACAGACTCAGAGTGGGAATGAATTACTTTCAAAATGTAACATTAGAGCCATAAGATTGCCAAGATTTCTTTAGAACATGTGTAAACTCTGGTTTGTTTGAACATAAAGAACATGGAATTGCTACTATGTTTC